GAATTCGCGTAATCGGTGGTTTTGCAGGAATATGAAGTGACGTAATTGGATTAAGGTTAATAGAATACTTTTATTAGATGAAGTTAGCGTTATACAGACCCGCGAAGAGTTAAATCTGTAACGCTTCGCGCAGGTAAGATAAAAGTGAAAAGGCTGGCACGGACTAGCAGTATGAAGTAGTAGTCTAGGAGCCAGAGGTTGTCCGTGGCCCTGTAATATCTTTCACATCATCCAGGTGCTTTATTTATGTAATTTGACCTCCTGAGTTCGAATTTCGAAGATGCCAACCTGTAAGTGGTCAAATTAATTTGTTATTAAAAAATTAAATGTTTAAACGTCTGTAACATTTTTTCTATTCAATTTGTAAAAATATACAGCATTTTAAATAATTACAAATTTGATGACAAACGCCTCGGTTTTTTTCAAATTGACAAGATATTTAATAAAACTCGAGATATTGTTAATTAACTAAACAAGAAACTCGATAGCGGTAAATTTTGTTGTTTTACATGTTATAGTTTTTTCTAATCAAGTTAGGATCCCAAAAAGGATATCAGCATATTTGTTAAACCATAGAGCAAATATGTAGAACATTTGGTTTTGTAAAAATATTATTTCACAATGAAAATATTACCATTTGAGTGAATAAAAATTCCTCGTTTTTGGAAAAAAAGTTATAAGCTCGCTAATTCTATCCTGCGAAAGTTAAGAGTTTTGGTCATTCACAGAAACTTATTCTGTAAGGAATGCAAAAATATTTATTATAACCGGAGTTATAGCGGTTTTGTGAATGAAAATCCGTCGACGCGCAAAACATGCCCTGGACTGCGAGACGCTATACGAGGTTCGTTTGAAAAGTTCGTGCAAAGTCAGAGAGATGGCGCTACTAGTGCGTATCAAGGTTATTTTCAGTTAGTGGCATATCTTGGAAGAGCACACACCAAGTTTTAGCCAGATCGGCCCATTACTTTGCGTTTTATATTCGTTTCAATCAAAGAAATCGAGTGGTTGTAAAAAAATGGACGAAAAGGAATTTCGTGTATTGATTAAACATTACTTTTTCAAAGGCAAAACGCCTCAGGAGATTAAACAGAAGCTTGATAAACATTATGGTGATTGTGCACCTTCGATTAGAATGGTCTATAAGTGGTTTCAAAATTTTCGGAGTGGCCATATGAGCACAAAAGACGCTAAACGTTCTGGACGCCCTGTTGAGGTTACCACTTCAGAAATAATTGATTAAATCCATAATATAATGATGGCTGACAGAAGAGTGAAGGTGCATGAGATTGCTAGTACTGTAGGCATCTCGAGCGAACGGGTACATAATATTTTGCACCAACATTTGGACATGAAAAAGCTATCCGCTAGATGGGTGCCGCGATTGCCCACGATTGACCAAAACGAGATCGTGTGAAGTGTTGCAAGAATGGTTTGCAGCTGTTCCAGCAAAATCCGCAAGACTTTAAGCGTCGTTTCATCACTGTAGATGAAACATGGATACATCACTACACTCCTGAGACCAAAGAACAGTCTAAACAATGGGTTACCAAGGGGGAATCTGCTCCGAAAAAGGCGAAGACAATCCTTCGGCCGGGAAGGTTGGCCCACAAAAAAGTCCTCTTCCACCACGACAATGCGCCAGCTCACGCCTCAGCAGTTGTGGCCGCAAAACTGATGGAGACAGGGTTCCAACTCGTTTCACATCCCCCCTATTCTCCAGACTTAGCTCCGTCGGACTACTATTTGTTCCCTAATATGAAAAAATGGCTGGCGGGGAAAAGATTTTATTCAAACGAGGAGGTGGTTGCAGAAACGAATGCCTATTTTACAGACTTGGACAAATCCTATTATTTGGAAGGGATTAACGAACTAGAGCAGCGTTGGATGAAGTGTATAAGCCTAAAAGGAGACTATGTTGAAAAATAAAAAAGATTTATTAAAAAAAATCAAGCAGTTTTTATTTTTGCACGGACTTTTCAAACGACCCTCGTATAGTTGCCGACAAGGGTATCGTACGGAGCTCGGCGTTTGTCGGCGGTCAATCATCACACTGTTAATGAAAGATATTTACAATGACCTGGACTGCTTACAAATCGGGACAAAACTGAAAGTTATAACAAAGTATCTTTAACAAATGTATCTTTAACAGAATAATTTATGCAAAACAGTTACGTTTAACGTAGGTTTTAAGGAACGTAGAGTAATAACATTGAGTGTAACACAAGTAAGAGTCAAATTATCAAATACTAAAAATTTTTGAAAGACATACAATCATTTATTCTTCTCGTCTTTCGCCTGCACCTTCACCTATGTCTTCACCTATTACTCTACCTGCACCTTCTCCTGCACCTCCTTCTGTACTTTCATTTGTGCGTTTTTGTTTTAATCTGCCTTCACAACGATCATAAGATCCAGATTGTCATCTAGATGAATAACTCAGAACTTTATTACCTTCTTTGTAAGTTTGCTTCAAGATATCTAAAATAAAACGTTAGTTTATAATGATATGTAAATTTCATATTGATAGCTAAGCTCAAAATTTTACCTAACATAATATTAAGCGTTTCAGTACTACTAAAATTTCCTTTGCAGTCTAACCTCCTACTGTCTGATCGTACGTTGAGTATTCTTTTGAAACGGAGACATGCATTGTATCAGTCATTATTTTAATTATGGCTTATTTAAGAGTCTTCTATGCCATGTATCAATTAAGCTCTGTCCCGATTTTAATTATTTATTGTAAATAGAATCTGTTTGAAAATAAAATTTGAACAAGATTCGTTAACACCACACGAGATAAGAATCTGATTTTTCGCACTTATATTACAATACTGTATCATTGTAATTCTAGTTGTATAGTTACTACAATATGCTGGTTTTCGTAATTATTCTTCAATTATTCTTCGTGGATTAAAATTCCTAAAAAGATTCAAAGGTAGTAACGGAAAATTAACACAAAATTCTTCACTGAGGGCAGGAATTCCAAGGGCATTTGATGTCAAGACGTTATTCAGAAGTCGTTCAAGCTGTCGCAGATCACAGAATACTGCATCGTAAGGAGTGCTTCATATTTTCAACGTTTATCTCTAACTCTGACAAATCTTACTTTATAGTATAAGTGATAACCAAAATGTAAAGAGTATCCGTTACTTTTGAGTTTTCAATAAAAAATTTGAATATCATTATAAATATTATTTCATTAGTCCTGAAAATTACACTTTTAAAACATGACTGTACATTATACGTATTAAAAATACATTATACTTTTACGTAATTTAATATTAAGAACAAAAATAGCAAATACTAAATTTTTTTATCGAAGAGTCACAAAGAGAAATTACAACAACGATAATTAAAGATCAAAATTACTTTCAATGCAATCTTCTTGTAGAATTCTATCAAATTTAGGTGTTTTGAACCTAAAAAAATCATTAAATATTACTATGTTAAAGCAATTGAAAAATAATAGTCATTTAATAAATATTTAAATATCATAACCTTTTGGAAGTGGTTGGATATATTTTCATTCATGTAGAACATTAGTTTTGTCCAAAACAATCGACATGTTGAGTACAGAGTCATCGCTGAGTGAACCTTGAAGACCTTCAGCCGAGCTTCAGATAATTGCTTCATCAAAAAAACCTGATGATAAGTGATTAAGCACCTACAAGAGTTATATGATAATTTGTTACTCATGTAACCTTTGACTCTTTAAGTAATTCCATTAAACTACTTGTTTTCAAATACTTGAAATCATCAACACACACACTATTTTTGTCAAAAGTCACTGTACAGTTACCAAGCATGTAAGCTCCATTTTTTTATACACACCATAGATCATATCTAAAAAACTAGAGTCACTTTTATCCAACGCATTCATATACGTATTAACAGCTAGGCTGTTATCTTCATTCAATTTGGATAAACTGCGATAAATTTGTGTATAGTTGTGCTTAATAGTAGCATCAATATCTTCACTGCTAGACTGTTGGTTTTCATCGTTGATACTAGCAGCAGCAGTAGCACCAGCAATAAAATAACTATATTCATGTTGTGGTATTTCATTAGAAAACTTTGGCTTTTTAACTGAAAATAATTCAGAATTCAGCTTCTTACTCACTAAATTTTTTATTGGTTCCACTTTGCTAACTATAATATTTAACGTATCGACTATTGGTTTAAATGTCTTATTCAAAGCATTATCAGTGTAATCTTAAGCAAGCTTCAACAGATTATACCTCGGTCTGATTGCATCTTGCGCTTTTAGAAGTTGAGAAAGCACATGTTTTTATTTTTGATGATCATCCATATTAACGCTTCAACGATTACCATTAGACTGCATATTATATTATTACTGAGATAATTTATAGCAAAGCAGTCAAAGCCATTTCGATATCTTCCATTATTTTTAGTTTTATCCTTGTCAATCACTAAAAATCCAAAATCTATCTAATCTAAAAATACTTTACTTCATCTATAGACTTCAGTATTTCTTCCAGTAATTTATATTTTAGTTGATTGAGAGATTTTGAGTAAACATAAAAATTTTCGAATCTAACACCATGGAAGTTTTACAATTTGCTCTTTAAAATTCATGTTCCCGAGACAATGCTCAAACAATAACTGATCCGATAGTTACACACACACACACACACACACACACACACACACACACACACACACACACACACACACACACACACACACACACACACACACACACACACACACACACACACACACACACACACACACACACACACACACACACACACACACACACACACACACACGAGCACACACCCACATATTCGCTTTTATAGTTTTGAAAATGAGTCGTGTACTGGACTTCATAGTGATAATCACGTACAAATATCAGAGAGTAAAGATTAGAAATTTTAAACTTCATATTTCAGGCTATCAATATTGTGGTCTAAGAACTAAATTGCAGGAACGACTTGTTCAAGGTGATCCAGGCACAAATCCTCTTAATACAACTTGCAGAGAGCAGGTATAACTTATTTAAAAAATCGAATGATCGATGAAAATTTTGGTATTAATGAAAAAGCATCTGGTTACATTGTAATTAACGTTATGAAGTAAAAATATAAATTCGGTATGAAACTCAAGATAAAAAAAAAACATAAAACCAAGTCAATAGGTTCACAAAAAGAAACGCCAAAAGTCAATGAACTTAAAATACAAAATTAAAGCTGCCAATTTAAAATGGCCAAAAAGTAAGTGTGTTTGAACAATCATTGATGCTAGTCTAAAAAGAGCTCGTGAAGCCGTTAAAAAAATTAGTGGAAAAGCTAATATCAAGACTCCGCGAATTCTAACATTTTCAAAGAAGATGGGTGAAGCTCTGCCTTTTTTCATTTCCCTTTTTGCTGGTTTAAGCGTAACTGGTGCTCTAGTTGGTGGAGTTGCAGGAATCACAAAAGCTGTAAATAATGTAAAGTCTGTAAAACCACAATTGGAAAAAAGCAAGAGACATAAAAAAACGATCGAGGCTATTGCATTAAGAAAAGGGTTATATCTTAAACCAAATGAAATAGATTTTGGACTGTATATCAAATCTTACTTAGGATCAGGTTGAAAAAAAATTTCGAAGTAAGTTTATCAGATAGAGCACTCACAAACATCGACTTGATAAAGTATGCACACATTTTAAGTACATTAAATTTTCGAAGAGTGTTTATGAGAAATGACTTACCAAAGTCTGAACCACAGGAATCAGTTATAATTGATCTCGACGACGTTGAGGGAACAGGCACTCACTAGGTTGCTTATCGAAAAATCGGAAATAACGTCATATATTTTAATAGCTTTGGAAATCTTAGACCTCTATTTAATCTAATGACATATCTGGGTGTTGATGAGGTTAACTACAATCCAAAAAGATATCAAGATGTCAATACTTATATCTGTGGTCAGGAACGTTTGCAGTTTTTGTGTGGGGCTATATAACTTAGGACACAGCAAAAAATGATCAGTCATATTTAGACAGTCACGGAGGAATCATTTACTTTTACTCTTACTGGTGATTTTTCTTTCCATCCATTGAATTAGTAGCAAATAAAAAATACATTTTAGGCTTCATAGTTTTTAACATTCAATTCAATACCTAATATAGACATAAATAGCAATAAATTTTATATTGGTGACAAACTACCTAGAACCTTACCTGTGGGCAGTTACGAAATTGAAGACATTGATAAATTCCGTCGTAAAGTCTTAGAGCCTGAAATAACAGTGTGTCTGAAGCCGAATAATAATACTTTACGTTGTGTACAAGTGTAGAAGACATTGATGTTCGTCCACAAAATTCCATTGAACGAGTGCTGAAATAGAAAAAAACATCTCTTACTATTCGGATTTTCCAGTAAAAATTGTTAAAGTAAACGCTCAAAGAGTTGAGTGTAACATTACCTTCGGTGCCTATATGAATGGGAATAAGGTTCACGATATTCATGAACTTGTTCCCAATCAGTTCTAACAGATTTTAGATTGAAAGATTTCTTTCGATAAATGCTTTTTTGTACAACGGTATTGATGTATATCGGATATTCATGAATTTTTTTCTGTAATACCACCCGAATATAAAATTATCGAAGTTTCCTCAAATGTGATTTATCTTCCATTTACTGTAAAGTGTATAGATAATCTGTAATTTCGTCTTTAACCAAGACCAAAATTTAATAAACTTTTAAGGTGAAGTGATAATTATTAGATTAGACCTGAATAGTACGCCATGGGAATCGTTTACAATTCAAAGAGTAGTGGAGGCTATATAAGCAGTAAAATATGCAAACTAACCGTCAGTCGTTGAATAAAAGTAAAATCGTTAACACGGCGAACTCCGATTGTCAATCGTCATCGGAAATCGAAAGCATTAACACATCAGTGCATAAAGTTCCTAGAAAGTCTTGGATTAAAAATAATTTTTGATGGAAAGAAACTTGCATTATTTGGTGTTGCTTTCAGCAAAATAATAACCGCAAATACATAACCATGTGCACTCATTAAAACGTTAAGTTAATGAAACAGTTTTACATAAATGGTTGCTGCAAGGACTGGAAAACGATGGACGAAGTCATTGAAGGATTTTTATAATGATTCTTTGAATAAATTATTTGTAGAATAGGATGTATTTTTATCAATAAAAACTTTTTTCTTCAATTTCATGTATGTACTTATTACTTGACCTATTATTTAATTACTGAATATTATAGAGAAAAGTTAAAAAATTGATTTTTATATTTATTTTATGCATAATATTTGTTATATATTAACTAAAATTATAATAAAAAACACAAAAAAGAATAGCCACTATGAGGAATCGAACCCGCGCCCCAGCTTCATGGAAGTGAATAAATAACGGTATGCGTTGCGACGGGATAAAGGGGAGGGAAAAGATAAAGGTTCAAAAGACGACGCGATTCTTTCCTCGACCTCGGCCTGTCGCCAGCGGCGCAGTCAGCCGATAATGTGTGCAGCTTTTATTTGTTTGAGTTGGGCGCCAGCTACCGTGCTCCCGAGTTAGGAGAGCAGGTAGCGCTGCAACATTGGCTGTCGCAGGAGAACGGATTAACGATGCGGTGATGGTCGATCAGCGTTCCCTTCCTGGTCGCTTCATACGACCGGCCGTCTATTCGGAATGTAACAACTTACGCGGAAAATCACTTCAAGAAATTAGCAAGTAGACTACGCGCACAAAGATAATTTACTTCCCGCACGATAAACGGAGAAAACTCGTTTATTAACCGGCAAATCAATAAAGGTTAGGCAACGAATCGACGGCAAGTAGATGCGCGCGCACGAAGAATTCGCCGTTCAGACAACGTTTGATATAACGGCGCAACAAAGAAAGATCGCCCGAAAGGTCAGTGACGGAAAATGCGCGCGCAAGCGATTGGTCGGACGCGGGAAGGTCATACGGCACTCCCGAAAGCACGGACGTTCAACAAACGCGATTAGATAAAGGGATAGGCGTACTTACTCTGGCACCTTTTTAAGGTAAACGTGACTGCGGCTAGCACCACTAACGCCGCTGTAGCTACTGCTACTGCTGTTGCTGTTGCCCCTGCCGTTGTTGTAGCTGTTGCTGCTGCTGCTTTTGTTGCTAGGACTGCTGCTGCGGCTGTTCGCTACTATTGCTGCTGCTGCTGTTGCTCGCTATTATCGCTGCCGCTGCCGTTCACTGCTATTGTTGCTGCTGCTGCTTTTCACTGCTATTGTTGCTGCTGCTGCTATTCACTGCTATTGTCACTGCTGCTGCTATTCACTGCACTCGCGCTTTCTCGGGCTCAGGTGTCCGGTCAGCTTCGAAGCTCAGCGGATACTGGGGCGGCGTTTTTCGGCGACGCGCCGCTTCTCTTAACTTATCTCCCCTTAACGATTAGGTGATTGGTCGGCTTGTTGCTAAGCCGGATGTCAGCGCCGTCTATATCGGTATTTCTAGCCCGCGTAATTTTATCACTGGTCGCGTCTTGGCGCCTAATTTCCCTACTGGTTGTGAAGATAGCGTCAGTTTCACTCTATTTGTCTAGCTACCCCTAAGCTGATAATGATTGGCTAATTCGTTAGCGTTGCTTGCCTGTCCTTGTCTATCTACCGCTCGTTGGTCTTGCCGATTCCCCTCACTCGCGTCCGATCGGTCTCATCTCGGTTGTCTCGCTCGCTCTCACGCGCTCGGTTGCCTCTACTTTAGTCTAGCCAGGTCTGTCTTAGTTAACGGGGGCTTGCGATCAGCTAATCCCAGCTGGAATCTTTAAGGGCTTCCAGCTTCCTGGGGGAGTATCGGACCGGGTCGTGAGCGCGCGAGGGGTTGTACACGGGCGTAAGGGTCGTGCGCATCGGTCGGGAAGATTTCAGGGGATCATAGGTCGCGAGATCTCGGACAATGCATGAACGGGTGTATGCGGCAACAGCTGTTTGGCCGCACGTTTCTAGCAGGAGCGGGGCTAGCATAAGGTAGCATAGATTTTCCTGTGATGACGCATCATCACAGCGTATTTAATATAGACAGTGAGGGGGGGGGGGGGGCAATCGGTGATGGTGCGATGGGAGATGAAATTAGCTAGCTCATGCGTTGACCTTAAAATGTCAGATCACGCTACGAGTGCTGAGTTAAAAACGCATGGACCTCGGATGATGCGGTGAGCTGATGCCTCCACTGATTCGATGCCCCGTTGATCGGAGATCCTTCTAGTTTATTTAGCGAGGTGGGTCTACATACCCATAACTATAGGGAACCAAGGCTAATGCTTACAGGTACCTAGTGTATCTCTGCACGTTTCACGATGACATAGCTTTCGAAGTCATAATAACGATAACAGTAACAATATATAGCTTATATGGACTTATATATAGCTTATCATGAGGTGAAATTAGTCTTAAGGTATACTCATTAAATTTCATTTGCAACAACTTGCATTAAGTGTAATTCGCAACCAAAAATCTGCATCTGAACCAAAACCGCATTTGAAGAAATTTTTTGATCTGATCTAAACAACTTTCGAAGATGGTATGCTGAGAATACATGAACTTGACATCGTTTATAATGTGTTTTGTATTGTAAAAAATTAATAACTTACGTATCTATTCTATACATACCTAGCATAAAAGAACAACGTGTTCTAAACAATTTTCTAGCATATTCCGAATATGATACTATCCTCTTTTTACATAATACTGTACGATAAGGAACGAATAGCAAAAATAAATGTCGATATCTCTGAGATGACACAAATGTCTTGAACAGTAACGATATCGTATAAAGTAAATTAAATCAATACTGATTCTTCTTTTATTGACTCAGCTTTAATATGACAAAAAATTTTCTCTGAAATTCACTTAAAATGTCAGTATTTAATTTTTTCATTTTAAACATTTTATTCAGTTATATTCTTTGCAGGGATTTCAGATTAATGTCACTGCTCGAATCAGTGTACTACAGAAAAATGGATTTTCCAATAACCAACCTAAGTATATAGACTCAGAAAATACTTGCTTGACTCGGTTAAAACCTATAATTTTCGTAAGTGAAGAAATTTTTTTGATGGTGTGCTATTTGCCTTTTTTTTTTTAAATGATTCCTTTGAGTGTATTGCATAGTCCATTTCAGGATAAACTCTTCTTTTATTTACTGTTTTCCCTTTGATTGTACAACGTTGGCAGACATGAAAACTGCCATGGCCTCTATAAGCTATAATATTCTCCTAAAATTATTAGGCTATTAAATATCAATTTATTAAGTTTTTGTATAAAATCTTCGAGACATTCTTCCATTGCATTTGGTTTTGAGTTTATACAGTACAGTGCCACGATACCTGATTTGTAAATATTATGCTCATGATAAATTTTGATTAAAATAGCCAAAAATTATTAACCTAAATTTTTATATATCAGCAATTAATCGATAAAAATTTCCATTTTGTTATCATCATAATCTATTGATATTATATTTAAGACATTCTCAATGCCAAAGTACGTGATTGAATGTTTGATTTGCCAGTTCGTATAATTTTAATTGGTAGAGGAAATTTTTTAGTTTTAAGCAAAATTTAAGCTAGTTTTGGCACAGCCTGTTCTTCTTCATGAATTATTTTCAAAAGCTCAGTTAAATAATTTCTTCAAGTGATGATATTTTTTATGGCCTATTTTTTAATTTGTTTACTTAATTGTGAATCTCATTATCTTCAATTACTCTTTATACTAAATATTTAATAAACTACATTCGCAGAGTCGTCGAAAACTGTCATAGGGTGACAATTGAACCTAGATTATCTTTGTCAAATCACGTACATTAATGACTTAACTGACTATCCTACCGAATTTCAAGTGCGACCATTGCAAAAGCTATCTGTTATTAAATAAAGTAATGAATAAAATTTAGTAACGTACTGTGACGAACTCATTGGCATCAGTATTAGTATTGAAATCATTATTTTCGGAAGTACTTTTAGCACCGAAACATGACAAATCACTTGTACTTGAGAGATAATGCGAAGCTGTGCTGCTAAAAGTATTAAATATTTTCTTTCATTAATCACTCAATTTAATCGTGAATACCATGTGAAACGTTAAACAAAGCTATACGTTACTATTTGACTTGAAACTGATGGAAAATATTCCTGAATTCCCTAATCTACATGCTGTTTACTTTCTTGAGTTGAGAAATTTCGAGAATTCTGTCTATTATAGCTTCAGAATCTGTGGCACTCTTATACTAGCACTGCATACACTATTGCTCAATGAAGAATTTAATCTTACCCTCTTTAAAGATATTGATTTTGATAACGTATAGATAGCTTGATCACCACATTATACGAAGTATACCGACTTCAATCAAACATTACTTGTCGCGTAACATATTTTTATGTTTCAGATTAGTATGTTATTTGCTTATTCTTTATAATTTGTTTAGAAGATGATATACTATTGTTTTACCCACTTTTCGTTCATTTCTAATTTTCTCCCAAGATACGTAACGGAGGCTTATATTGCAGTTCATAGCTTATTTTTAGCTAAAGAAACGAAGTATGATCGATTTGTCCATGAAATCAACAAAAATTATGTATGACGGAAAGAGGCCATATTTACTGTGTAATCGAAGAAATTTGGTGTGCTGAATTTGATTTCAGATGTAGAATTACTATATCACCCTAGGTTTTCGAAATATCTTAACCTAAAAGTGCAAAAAATATTGTTTTTTGCATTTTTTGGGCTTATCTCACATGGCAAATTTTTATTTTATTGCAAATTTAAAAAAAATTTTCAACTTCAAAAACCAGTACTTAGTTTTTTGAAACCGTTAATTACAAATAGAGATATTGTTCATTAAAAAGTAGAAAATTTAGGTTTAAGATATACAGGGTATCCCATTTTAACTTTCACAGCTGAATATCTCGGAAACAGGCCCGGAAAGCTAAAAAATGATTCATATGAAAGTTGTTCAGAATTAAGGGGGCCATGTGTTGATGAACTTGAATTTGACTTTAAACGCGACCTGTCAAGGTCATTTTGAGGTCAATGTTGTTTTTTCAATGGAAACCTCTATTTTTTATCACGGATTTGGGTTCCTTGTCAAAATCTATGTTCAGATAAAGCTACATGTGTGGGGTACGGATGTACTTTCCAATAACCTCCCCCCCTACAGATCATTTCAAGGTCAATGTTGCGTTTTCAATTGGAACCCGTGTCTTTGACTGAAGATTCAAATTCTGCATAAAATTCTACATTCAGATGATATTTCGTAAATAAATGATAAATCTCTGGAACCCTTATTTTTACATTTTCTAGCATATTTTAGGCTGTTTCTTGGTTTGCAATGATTTAAGCATCTACGGGGCTCGATAACGTGTGAACTCACAAAGTTAAAATTGGCTCTCAGCTACTTAAATTTAATGCTTAAGCCTTCCCATCATCTGCAAGGTCTTACAGCCTCTAGAGAAGGGTTTGTATGCTTAAAAACCCAGCTAGTTGAGACAGGGTCATATAGGGATCCAACCAGTTATGGTAGCACCAGAAATTCAGCTCAATTTTTTTTAGAAATTGATTTAATTGTGAAATCAGATGTTCAAAGTGTCCACCATTATTTTCTAAACACAATTGCAAATGGCGGCGAAAATTATTCTGCACGTTCCCAAGTATTTAAGGAGTTATTGCTTAGCACGCTGTTGTAATTCTATCTCTCATGTTTTCTGGTATTGTTAGAGGTTGTCTAAAAACGGCATCTTTTACGTATCCCCACAAAAAGAAATCAAGTCGGCTGAAATTTGGCGACTTAGGAGGCCACGCGATCCACCTCGCCCAATCCATCGATTTGGAAATTGCTGATTTAAAAACGTTCATACAATACGAGCATAGTGAGCAGAAGCACCATCTTCTTGAAACCATAAATTCTGTCTAAGTGCAAGCGGAACGTCTTCTAGGTTTCCGACAAATTGTTCTAAGAAAATTCTAAATAAACTGCACCATTGATAGTTCGTTCAAAAAAATGTGGCCCAATCACTTGACCATTACATATATCAACCCATACGTGTAAGACCCAACGATGTCGACTGAGCACCTGGCAATACTAATATTGATTTTCTGGTGACCAATAATGACTATTGTGTCTATTTAAACTTCCTACACTGCTAAACGTAGGTTTATCGCTGGAATTTTTCCTAAAAGCAAATCCCCATGGTTATCTAGTTCAGTGGAAATCAAAAAACAGCCTAAAATATGCTAGAAAATTAAAAAATAAGGGTAGCAAAGATTCATCATTCATTTACGAAATATCATCTGAACGTAGAATTTTATGCAGAATTTGAATCTCCAGTCAAAGATACAGGTTCCAATTGAAAACGCAACATAGACCTTGAAATGATCTGGAAGGGGGGGGGTTATTGGAGAGATCATCCGTACCCCACACATGTAACTATATCTGAATGTAGAATTTCACGAGGAATCCGAATCCATGGTCAAAAATAGAATAGGTTCCTATTCAAAAACAACATTGACCTGAAATGACCTTGACGTGTCGTGATCAAGGTCAAATTCAAGTTCATCAACACATGGCCCCCTTGATTCTGAACAACTTTCGTATGAATCATTTTTTAGTTTTCCGGGCTTGTTTCCGAGATATTCAGATGTGAAAGTTAAGATGGGACACCCTATAGATATACTCGTAAGTACGAGGAGGGATCAATAAGTCTTTACAAAATGCAAGAGATGGCGTTTGTCATACTACTAACTAGATATCGTATAAAGTTTCAGCTCGATTCACTAAGTCGTTTTTTTGTGAGCGTTGGTTGAACAAAAAGTTATTGGTTTATTTGAAAAATGGAAAAAAGAGGGTTCCGAGCGGTGATAAAACATTTTCATTTGAAAGGCCTTACACCAAAAGAAATCACAGTTAAGTTGAACGGCGTTCATGGCAAGTCTGCCCTTGTGTTTAAGACTGTTTATAACTGGGTAAATGAATTTAAACGCGGCCGTACAACAACAAAAGATGAACCTCGTTCAAGACGCTCCGTAGAAGTGAGTACGCCCGAAATGGTCAACAAAATCCACGATATGGTGTTGAGTGATAGAAGATTAAAATTGCGAGAATTAGTTGAGGCCACAGGGGTATCAAAGGGTACAATCATGAAAAATCGGGGATGAAATAAATATCAGCAAGATGGGTGCCGCGTTTGCTCACTGTTGAAAACAAACGAACCCGCGTGGTCACCTCTGAGGCTCTTTTGGCACGCATATGTCGTAATCCGGAAAAGTTTTGGCGTCGACTCGTAACTGAAGACAAAACATGAGTACACCACTACACTCCTGAAACCAAAGAACAGTCCAAACAATGGATTACTGCAGGAGAACCATTCCCAAAGAAGGCAAAGACAGTAAAGTCAGCTGGCAAGATTATGGCCACGGTTTTATGGGATGCGTATGGAATCATATACATTGACTACTTGGAAAAGGGCCAGACAATCACTGGACAATATTATGCGTCATTATTAGGTCAGCTAAAAGAAAAAATCAGAGAAAAACATCCTCACTTGAACAAAAAAAATGCCTCTTTCTTCAAGACAATGCTCGAGTTCACACGTGTGCAGTTTCGATGGCAAAAATTTACGATTTAAATTTCGAATTAATTTACCATCCACCATATTCACCTGATTTGGCTCCCAGTGACTTTTTCTTATTTCCTAACTTCAAAAAAATGGCTTGCCGGACAACGATTCACGTCGAATGAAGAAGTCATCGCCGAAACAAATGCCTATTTTGAGGGGTTTCAGAAATCATATTTTTCTGATGGCTTAAAAAAACTGGAAGGCCGTTTAATAAAATGTGTCGACCATCAAGAGATTATGTTGAAAAATAAAAAAGAATTACATACGCAAAACTTTTTTTCCTTCTGTTTGTAAAGACTTATTGACCCCCCCCCCCCTCATACATGAGAACGATACTTGTTAAAAGCATCTTGGTAGATTACATGAAAAATTCAGATTCAGAGGTTGAAAATGAAACTTTATTCAGTTATTTTTTTTCTGGAATATTTTTTCTCGTATATTACGTATATACCTAAAAACCTGAATTTTCTACTGAGGAAAAATTCAACGCTACGTTCAGTAAACATTGGAATTAATTTTTTAATATTTCTGAATAACATACATTGTCAGATAATTTTATTTTCCTCATATGACAAATAAGTAACAATTTCCATTTGAAGTTATTGGGTCTATAACTTAATTCGTGCAGTTTGCTGAGAGATGGCGTAACTTGTATTATTCCATCGTTTCAATATACCAAACATGCGTTTCGTTTCGTTTTAATGGCTGTGGGTATCTGAGGACTTCGATGCGCCCCAATTCAATTCCGAACATGCGTTAGAAAGCTATTGCCATTGTGCATCTTTTCAGTATACCATTCATTTGAAGCGTAAACAACAATAATTTTTTTTCACTCAAATATGTCGAACATTGTGTCGTCTAGTATAAAAAAATTCTAAATAAAATTAGTATATACGAACTGAAATAAATTTCAAAGTGATCTGTTCGAGATATTTAACGATAAATTATTCTCTCACGAATAAGATAATCTATCTCAAAATCAAAAGTACGATTTTTACGTTATTACGAACATTGTTACGAACGCAGTTAAATCAGTGACTTCGCGAAAAAACAGCTACAATAAAAATTTCGTAAATAATCCCGTTCCCTGGTGGGATTCCGACTGAAACAAAGTATAAAATTGAGAACTTTAAGAAATGGAACTTCTATAAATAACTCGTCGACTTGATTGAATATAATAAGAATTGCTCTCTAGTTACCAAACCATTCAAACAGAAAAAACGGTTATATTTTAAAAACTTTGCAATAATCATTAACTTCAACATAAACAGAAGATATGTCTGGAATAAATGTAAAATTCTTACTTTCGACCGTTATCTACACACCAACATCAAAGTATCTCAAGACATCAATGCAAACAAATCTGTATCACAAGGGAGAGTATTAAGTCCCTTTACGTAATTTACACGACAGACATTGCAAAAAGACTCGAAAAAGATGACATCTTTTACATCTCCATTCTCAAATTCGGTGATGACATAGCTATCGTTGCCGCGACTCCCGCGATGCTGGAAAATGTCTGCTTACTAGAAAGAACGATCGAGTCGATTAATTAACCCTTTTTTGCACGGCGGTAACGTGGGTTACCACCAACTTAACTTCAGATTTTCGCTTTTTAATAAATTATTAATCTATCAATGTCCAGTTTTTTTGGTTCGCATACTAAATTATTAATAAGAGAACATAAGAAAATGGTTTATTTGTCATAATTGTTTATTATAATTGTTATATAAACAAACAACATGAAAATTGTCATTTTTTTCAAAAAAATTTATTTTTGAAAAATATAACCAGTGTGACAAATTGAAAATCTGTACTCAAGGGTTTTAGGGGTCGCTGATTACAAATCTAAAGTCAGATTTTTGAAAGTATCAATTCAAAATGGCATATTCAAGATGGCGGTTCAGAAATTTGGAAAAAATAGATATACAAGTTTAATCATCTAGACTCAGGAATTTTCAGGGTTGCTGATCATAAATCTGTAATCAGATTTTTTGAATTTTCAATTCAAGATGGCAGATTCAAGATGGCGGCTCCGAAATTTCGAAAAAATTAGATGTAATCAGCAACCCAACCGCAAAAACTCTTCAGTACTATTTTGTGATTATTAAGTTTGTACATCTATATATTTTTCGAAACTTCGGAAGCGCCCCACCATCCCACCATCTTGAATTGAAAATTTCAAAAATCCGACTTCATATTTGTGATCAGCAACTCTGAAAATCCCTGAGTTGTGATTTTCAAACTTGTACATCTATATTTTTCGAAATTTCGGAATCGACATCTTGAATCCGCCATCTTGAATTAAAAATTTCAAAAGTCTAACTTCAGATTTGTGATCAGCAACTCCAAAAACCCACGAGTAAGAGTTTTAAAGTAAAATCACTCAATAGAAAAATATGAGCAACAAAGGGTTAACTCAAATCTACGTTTACTCGGTCTTCATCTTTCTCTTTTTTTATTATCATTCTCTATTTTAATAAAAAAAATTCCTTCAGGTCATACGTCAATCAAGATTAATGGATAGCAAATAATCTCCCTTTTTTACCTGAGACAGTAAAATAATTCAGATATCATATGCAAATGCCAGATATTATTCTACACATAGACAAGTTAAGAAGAAATGTAGTTATAGAAATCGAATAAATTTTCACTTATATGATACAAATAAAATTCCACATAAATATATCTAGATTTAGCACACTCCCCGAATAACAACAAAATAACTTTGAAATTATACAAATACTGTGCACTAACACTTATAAGGAAAGATATTCAAACAGTAGAGAAAATAGAGAAAAAATAACAACAAGAAAAATAACTTATAATTAAATGTACTACATTTAAATATAATAATAGAAAAAATTAAGCAAATAAATAGAGAAAAAAATTGAGAATCGCGGAAGCAATGCTTTTCGTTCAAAGAAACAAAATTAATATTTTTAATGAAAAAAGACAGCTTCAGATTTTACATGAATATTTTTAACTGAACGGAGTAGAAGTATCGAAAAATTTTGTAATTTTGTAGGACAAAACAGCTATGTCGCAATTTCGTAATTATTTTGTATTTATGAACTTGAATTTTAATAATTAAATCGTTTATCACCTTTCATATGTAATGATGTACTGAAACAAGGAATAATAAAACAATGAAATTCAAAAATTCAAAAAGTGTCTTTATTTTATTTAGATTTGTAACAGTAATCTTAAACCGTTGACCATAGTGACGTTCAGTTTCATAGACAATACATCTGATCACTCGCATCTACATGACACTCAGAACCAGTACCTAATGAATATCCAGACCGAGTACAGAAACTTAACATATTTGTATCAGAACTATTTCTTTCAAATCCGAAAAACACCCAATTATTTCTGTTTCGTGTTCGACAATTGATTGAAATTGTGTCTTCTATGGTTTTATTACCTTCTCGATAGAAGCTCTTCCGTGTGAATGTCCAGCAATCATTTGGATCTGTGCACTCAGCTTTAGCAACCAAGCAGCTAATGTGTCCTTCATAGTCAGATTGTACGTACATAATTATAATAGATTGGTTAAATGATGCTTCAGTCGAGAAAACTAATTCATTTTCGTCATTGAATTGATCACAATAAATTCCCTTGTCATGGGTTAACTTGCGGATCCAGCAAAAAGACAAGCCTTTCGATACCATTTGTAAATGCCTATTGGCACTTGGCACTGATATCAGAGTATGCAATTCACCGCTAGAATACTCCATCCTCATTACTCTATAGAGAAGGCCTTGAAACCCACGAACAACAAAATCTTCAGATGGCAATCTTTCGATGCGTATGCTCGACCAATCAAGATCAACGTCAAATTCCTTTGCAAATCTTAGTTTAGGGTGAGTAGTGTTCATGTCTTGTATTGAATAGCTGTACCAGCATCGATAAATAGACCGAGTCTTATAATTATTCTTACTAAATAGACAAGGAGTCATGGAGTCAAGAAAAAAAATATCCAAACTGTCAGCTGATGGAATGATGATAGCATTGTCCATCATCATATTAAGATTAACTTTCATACAGTTATTCATGTTTAGTATTGCGATTTTGGTTTTGTGATAATAACCGTAAGTCATCTCATCATCCCAAGAGAGCACAATTAGGTTTTTATTAAGTCGCCTAAATGTATTGATATTCATTACAGCAACAAGCGGGCGACTTACTAAATCGAAGAAACATTGTCTTTCTGGGATATTAGTAATGAACGGCAAAGTTTCCACTTGAATACGAAATATATGCTGCCATTCATCTTTTACTTCTGTGTATAATAATCTGGCGACGGTGTCATCCAATTTTTCGGGTGCTGTTAACCATTCAACATCCGATCCCGAAGTGACTACTAACCAAAGACTCACGAAAAATATGTATCTAAACATTTTGTAAAAGTGGAACTAGAAATAATAAACAACGAGGAAATGATTTACGCTCTGAAATAGTAGCTGTACAAATATTGACAATATCACAACACAAAATACGAGGGTTGTTTGAAAAGTTTCCGATCTGTTAAAGATAAAAATAATTTCATAAATATTTGGATTTATTGGCCGTAAATTTAATTATATTTAGAAAGACGTGCCAAGTTTGAAGTTGATCGCTTGAAGAGATATTTTTTTATAGTATTGAATATTTAACACATGCTTTATGATTTTAAATAAAAAAGATATAGAATGTGGCATAAAAATAGTCGGGTCGAAAGTCCCAGGTCAGATAATTTTTTATAAATATTTTGATAAATATATTAAATTGAACTGTATTTCGAAAACCGTACGAAGTTTGAAGTTTATCAGTTAATTAGGAAACTTTTTATGGAGTTTCGAAAAGAAAATTGACATGTGATAAATTACGTAAAAAATTTTTTCTTAAAACACTGTAAAAAGTTTCTTAATTAACTGATCAAATTCAAACTTGGCATGTCTTTTTAAATACAGTTAAATTTACTGCCAATATATCTAAACGTTATATTATGTTTTTATACAAAATTATTTTTATTTTCATCAAGTCGGAAACTTTTCAGGCAACCCTCCTACTAACCTGCTTCTTCTTCTAATACCAAAAACTATTCAGGAGACAATATTCTTCACCGGACTAATTTCTGCTTAGATTTCAGAAAACGTAGTAAGTCATAATGTATATCTATGCGATAAGAACATGCAAAAACGGTTTTATGATACGAAATAACACGAAGCACTCGTAGACGCTCACTCAATTGTGTTGCAAACCGAATAAACAATGTTATCAGAAATAGACGTAATTAATCGTAGCGTACATACCTAACAGTTCAAGAATGCTTTGTTAATATTCAATCAAATGATCTCACAGTAAATACGTACTATTTTATAACATTTGTCTTTAAATTTTTAATAGATATATACTTATCAATTAATATATGACCTTAATATTTTTCCCGGTATTCCGCTTGATTTCATACATTCAATGGATATATCCAGATATTGTTTGCTGCGAAAATCTTCTATACATTCGTGTATTCAAGATTTATAAAATTAACGTATCATGTATAACGTATCATATATATACAATAAATTAATTATTCTGTTTTGTTATTTTTCTTGCGTCTTAGTTATGAGCGTTGATTTATTTCATATTTCGGAATAAAAGAATTATATCTGTGCGAACATTTTGAATTTGATTACTCAAGTGTGTGTGGTGTGTGTCTGTGTGTGAATGTGTGGATTCCATCCGCGATAATTGTTTTTTTTTTCGTTCAATCATGGAAACTTTCCGTAACTTTGGAACTTATATTTATTTTTATCTAAATAGTCAAATTCAAAACGTTCGGACAGAATGCATTGCCTGAGAGTGTACCTACAATTAAACTATGGTTATCATTTTGGCCTAACTTCAATAATAAAAAAAAGAGAAAGCATAGTCATGAATAATCGTTTTTGTGTACATCACATTGAAGATAAAGGTATCTGACTGTATAAAGTATTTTATTATGTCAACTACTGTCTAAACAATATTATATTAATAATTTTTTCCTAAAAAAATTAGGAATTTCATTTTTCCATATAATTCTTAACATTCATTAAAATTGCTCTGAGATTAGTAATCATAGTTTTCAAGAGCAGAATACATCAAAATAAAATAATATACAAAATTACATTTAGAAATCTTTATCTTTAGATCATAAGCTATAAAACTGAATGAGTGAATCAATCTGAACATAACTCGTTACTTTTAATTTGGTTCTTATTGTAATAACATTAATTACAATTTTTTTCATAAATATACGTAATTACAGTTGTTCAAATAAAGAGCAAATATATAGAAACTGTTATAGGAAATTATTCACCTCGTCTATTAATTGTCAAAATTTTTAATGAACTACATCAACGTTGTAATGGCAAGCAGAAATGACTATGTTATGAATGTCAAATTGAAAGTTCTATTAAGCATTAATCGTTGTAGCTTCCAAATGAAAATTTAATCATATTTTCGAAATATTGCGCATAATAGAATGATGTACTTACCCTCAAAAAGATCTATATAGCTTAGAATTTTTATTTTGCAAACTAGCTTTACGGATTGAAAATAATAATTATGTGTACTTCTCAACGATAATCTGATTACTTTCCGAACATTTTTTTCACTTATGAACGCAGACGAAATACCTAAATATTTAAACTATATAAAAGATATACAAGTTGTGTTCAAAAAGTAAGGTGAATTTTTATTTTTATAAAAAAATATTTATTTATTCATTAATATTTATGTTATCCTCTTCAAAGTAATAATCCCCCTCAGATGTAATATACTTGTGCCAACATTGTTTCCAATCCTCCAAGGACTTCCGGTAAGCACTTTCTGGTATAGCCTTGATATGAGTTCTTCCAGCAATTTTTTCTGTATCTCCTCAATCGTTCCGAAGTTTCTTGAGTTTTGGGAACAGGAAAAAGTCGCAGAGGACCAAATCCGGTGAATATGGTGCCTGAGGCATGATTGTGGTTTTGTTTTTCATCAAAAAGTTCGACACAAGCAACGATGAGTGAGCAGGTGCATTATAATAATGCAAAATCCATGAATTGTTTTCCCACAATTCCGAACGTTTTTTTCATATTGCTTCTCACAAACGACACATAACTTCAACGTAATACTCTTTATTGATCGTACGACCTTGTGGTAAGAACTCTTGATGTACTACGCCACGATAATCAAAGAAAACAGTGAGCAAAACATTGACATTTGATCGACCTTGACGTGCTTTTTTCGGTCTTGGCTCTTCTGGAGTCTTGCATTAGGACGATTGGGCTTTAGTTTCGACGTCATAACCATAAACGCATGATTCGTCACCAATTATCACTCTTTTGAGCACATCAAGATCATCATTGACGTAGTTTAACAGCTCTTGAGCAATGCTCCTTCGGCTGTCCTTTTGTTCAAAAGGAAGAAGTTTCGGAACAAATTTTGCTGCTACACGTTTCATGCCCAAAACTTCGGAAAGAATTGTATGGCACGAACAACAGATAGTGATTCGACGATTTTGTAACACCATTTGTTTCACTTCTTCAACATTTTCATTAGTTATTGAAGTGCTGGAGCGTCTAGAGCGAGGTTTGTCGTCAGTGTCTCCTCGGTCATCGTGAAAGAGCTTATACCACTTGTAAACATTTTTTTGACTTAAAATAGACTCACCGTATGCCACTGTCAACATTTCGAGTGTTTTGGTGCACTTAATTCCATTTTTTACACTAAATTTTATACAAACGCTTTGATCCATTGTTTTCGACAGTAGAAAATCGCTGAGCACAAAAAACACGTCTAACGTTTCTATCTCGCAAAAAAAGTAAACATACAAACTGGCTGTAACTGTGAGCATATGTGAGGGACATGTATAGCAAAATAATAAAAAAAATATCGATGATCGAATCTCCGTAGCCCGCCCAATTTAAAAATTCATCTTACTTTTTGAACACATCTCGTATAGATATATAGATCACGATTATTTCTTCATCTCAATGAAAAATAAATTTGTTATGGTATAATGTAATTTTCTAAAATAATATTCTTGAACGGGATCTTTCTGCCAATTGCTTTTGTGTCTGAGTTAAATATACATTTTTTTATCTACAAAGTACACATGAAGAGATATATACCTAACGAATATATACTGTTACGCTTACATAAATTATTTCATAAATTATTTCATTTTCAGTTGTACAAATAGTTTTCGCGTACTATTTCTTTGTTCTATGTTGCGTTAATCTTATGTAGAAATAGTATCCAAAGTTTGAAAAATTACAGATGTTGGTATATTTTTTTAATTCATATGTAATGGAACCTGTATAGCAAATATACATAATAAAAAGGACTTGAAAATGTTCATGAACAAGGCTTCTTCAAGAAAGCAAGGCAATATGTTTTCGGTTAATAAACAGTATTGAATTGGTGGAATAGTTTGATGTTATTTTTTTATTCTACTAAAATAAAAAATAAATCAATGTTTTCGCAACTAAGATGCAAGAAAAATGGTAAAACTGAATAATTAATTTATTGAATATGCATGATCCTATGACTATAGGTATTTTTCAACATATCTTCTTTAAATATTAAATATATGAATGTACAGATTACAATATCTGGATATATTCATTTCAATGTACGAGTACCGGGAAAAATATTAAGCTTATGTATTTATTGATAAGGCTATCTTTATGTCAAAAAAAAAGACAAGTATTGTAAAGAAAGTGTTTATATATCGATTATCTATAGATTAATTGCCAGCGAAAAATTCTTAAATTGCTAGGCAAATATGTTATGAATAATTACGTTTATTTATAACATCAATATTTATTCGATTTTGAACGTAGTTGAACAAACGTCTTTGAGTGGTTCGTGCTATTTCACATCATAAAACAGTTTTCGTATATTCTTATCGCAAAACGGTACATTATGATTCACAACGTGTTCTAACATCTAAAATGAAATCACTCTGATTTAAAATTCCTCTTGAATATTTTTTTGTGTTATAAGAACCAGGTTAGTATATTATGTTGTGATATAAAACTAAATTTCCCTGACCGTTTGATCAATTTCGATTAACTTCTTATCAGTAGGTAATACAGTTACGGTATGATATAAATGTGTCTTTCAAAACAGATTATTTCAAAAAAATTATTTAAAGAATTATGAATTATGAATGTTGAATGGACTTAAACATATTGAAATATTTGTAAATAATTGAATCAATTGTCAATATTTGTACCGTTACTTTTTTAATATCACACTCATTTGCTCAATTATTTAATATTTCTAGTTTCACTTTTGTAAAATGTTTGGATACGCACTTTTTGTAATCCTCTGGCTAGTAGCCGACCCTGGATTGGCTAACGAATGGTTGACAGCACCCGAAATGTTCGGTGACACCGTTGCCAGATTATTTTACACAGAAATAAGACATGAATCGCAGTACATATTTCACGTCAAGGTGGAAACTATCTATTACGATAGTAGAACTCCAGTAAAACAGTGTTTGTTTCAACTAGTAAGTCGCCCAGTCGTTGCTGCAATGAATATCACGACATTTAGGCGACTGGATGAAGATAAAATTGTGCTCTCTTGGTACGACGAAATGACTAACGGTTCTTTTCGCCAAACCAAAATTGTAGTACTGAATATGAGTAACTGTATACTAGTTGAGCTTAACGTGGCAGCGGAAAATGCTATTGTTATTCCGTCAACTGACGAATTGAATATTTTTTTGAATGACTCTAAATATCCTTGTTTATTTACTAATATGAATAATAACATCCACTCCATTCATCGATGCTGGTACAGCTATAGTTTGCAAGATACTAATTTTACCAACCCTAAAGTAAGATTCATAAAGGAATTTAACGTTGCTCTTGATTGGTCGAGCATACGTATCGAACAATTGTCATCCAAAGATTTTGTTATCCGTGGATTTCAAGGCAACCTCTACAAAGTACTAGGGATGAATTATGCTAGCGGTGAATTGGATACTCTGCTGTCAATACCAAGTATGAATCGGACTTTACAAATGGCTTCGACAGGTTTGACTTTATGCTGGTCCCTTAATTCTGGCTATAACAATGTCATATATTGCGATCAATTCAATAACCAATACGAGTTAGTTTATTCAACTGAAGAATCGTTTAATGAACCCATGATAATTAAGTATGTGCAATCTGACTATGAAGGACAAATTAGCTGTTTGCTTGCTAAAGCTAAGTGCACAGATATAAAAGATTGCTGGACATTTACACGAAAAAATTTTTATCGCAAAGATAATTATTCCACAGAAAACACGGTTGAGATCAAGTGTGAATCACGAAATAGGAATAAATGGATATTTTTCGGATTTGCAAACAATACTTCTTATGCGACTGATAGAGCTATGTGTTCTCGGTCAGGAGATACATTAGGTACTGATTCTTAGTGACAATGAGATACTAATGGACATCTACATTGTATATGAAGCTATACACCACTATGATAAGCGCTTTGAGGTTGTTGCATATCTAAATCAAATAAAGAAAAGCCTGGAACTTTTTCTTTGTTTTATTATTTCTTTTTTTTTAATACACCAGTAAATATGAAACGTTAAACACAATCAATTTAATAAACGATTGCATTTCGTAAAATCGAAATAATTACGAAATTATGGTACAGAGGTTTGGTTCTGAAAAAATACAAAATTACAAAATATTCATGTAGAATCTTAAAGTATTTTTGTTCGCTATAAATATTTATTCTGTTTTCTTGATCTCGTAACAATGATTCATCGTTTTTTTTCTCTAGTTTAATAGCTTAGTTATTCATGTCTTTTATGTGATATTTTATATGAGAAGCCTACAAGATTATGTTTTCTTGTTATCGCTTTTTTACTATTTTTACTACTTTTTTTTACTATTTTTCTCCAGGTACGGTAGCGCATGGTATTTATATCATTTCGAAGATATATCTTGTTGAAATTTGGCGTATGTGTTAAGCCTAGCTATCTATGTGTTATTTTCTTTGTGTGGAAGTTATAGTTGAAAATTTATTGAATTTTTTGAAAACATGAAATTGCATTTCTTCGTATTTTTATATGTGTGGTTTCCTATTAAGCTTTTGTATGATTTCGGAGTTATTTTATTGGAACTTGGCGTGTGTTTTCAGTCTGACACGTGATTAAAACTATCATGGAGCTTGTCACTGGACCTGAATAAATTTAATTATTATTTTGAGGAGATACAGCAAAAAGTTAGATCAAAGGTTTACTTTGTCATGTCAAATAGTATAAATGTTGGTTTTACTGCGTTAATATCAAAGGTGCGAGAAAATCTAATGGAAATACTTTTAATCCACGTTTATCAAATATAAGAACAATTCTCATAAAAACATTCTGTCATCAAATAAGAGAAATCACACAAAAAAAACACAACAGAATAATTTATAAAATACGAATAAATTATGAAAAAATGTATAAATTGAACATTTTATTTATAAGAATAATAACATTATCAGAGGAAGGTAACTACCAAAGACTTGACAGCATTTTTTGAATTGCTCGAAAACGTTTTCAGATAAATAGAAAAAGTACGTTTGCCTAATAATGTCGAAAATGCCATTTTGCCTTGTCTGCAAGGTTAGGTTTTTCAAAGAAAATGACTATTTTACGCATTTGATACTCATGTGCATAAAACTGCAAATACAATATTTTATAATATAAAGACATATTATATTTATATAAGACGTGTAAATATATCGGTTGGGTTATCGCAATTAATGCTCTATTGGTATCACCGACTGAGCAAAAAAATTTTTCCAGATTTTTTCTTATACAAATATACTAGTCAACTTAAAATTTTTTCATATCATCCATGGTAAAGTTGTATTTTTTCAAAATGAAAAAAAATTAAAACTTTACTTTCAATTTTTATTTATTTTTTTCCATTTCCAAGATAATGTTGAAAAAGACAGTTGTTTATTGCTCTTCGTTTAGATAAAATGGATATTCTGATAAAGTTTCAAGTTGATTAATTCAGTATTTGTTTAAAAGAAAACCTAGAAAAATTTCTTCCGCTCAGTCGGTAACGTCAACCGTGCTACAAACTAGTGGTGGACGTTTATCACAAAAGTAATCGAACGAACACAATCGATTACCAAACTCTATTCCAATCGGATAATCGATTAATCGGCGGAAACATTTAAATAACTATAATTTATACAGTGTTTGTTAAAGAACGAAATTTATCGAATCCAACTGTTATTATTTTCAAAGTTCTACTATACAATAATGAAATTGATCATGGACCCAATTAATTACAATAAATTTTTTCATGGAACTTTTATTTTTGAGTTTGAGTAAAATGAAAAAGACTAGGTGCACAACGTAAGTGACATATACAAATTGATAATCCCAATATGATCAATTACAACACGTTATAAGCTCAATCACAGGTTTTTGCATAATTTCCATCGAGATTTATCTTTCTTTTTATTTTTCAGTTTTATTAGTGAATATCGTCTTATCCAGATATTTTAATATTTTCATTGTTTCCAGTGTTTTGATCCTCATTCTAGACGTTGAAAAAATTCATTAGTAAAATAAAACTCGTTGAAGCTTGATGTATATTAAATTCAGTTAAAATATATTCAGTATACTATAATAAAATAAATATTTTTTTTTACTTACTACTTCTTAAAATAGAAATGATCAAATAATTTATTATTTTAAAATTAAAACCAATATTATAATCACACATAATTAATTGAATAATTAATTGAATATCTTTGATTTTCCAATGTCACCGGGGTGGGTTGGGATTTAATTGACTAGTCTTCCATAACCAAAAAATTAAAAATAATTTTTGTCGCGCACGCGAAATTTTACTTCAATTTCGATTACGAGTTAAAAATGAATCGACCTACGATTAATCGGAGGCTCAAATATTCGACTCGATAATCGATTATGTACAAATATAATCGGACGATTATTAAACATCGATTAAAATCGCCCATCACTACTACAAACATCAGAAGCGATACAAAAAAAATAAAAACTTTTCCTTCAAAATTGATAGCTGAGTTTACTAAGACAGAAGAATGTATGCACAAATTATAAATTATAAGTATGAAATTGTGAATACTCAAAATTTAGTCAAACGATTCATATCGATACAAAAGAGCTAAAAAATGAATTATATAAAGAATTGGGTAAAATTATTAATAAATGCAAAAAAAAGATATTATTGACGTAGAAGGAATGTAAAAAGGAGAATTACAAATTTATATAAAAGAAATAAAAGGGTAATAATTAAAGGGTCTTTTAAGGGGGATATTCATACAGATCGATCAAAAAATCGTATTTATTTAAATTTCATTAATTAAATCTATAATGTTTAAGAAATACGGTGTCAAAATTTCAGAGCAAAATTTCAAGTCATTAACTTGCTAGTGCAGTTTGAGTGACCGCGCTTCGGACCGCGACGAGTGGGTAACCAGGTGCATACTCCCTAATAAAGTGTTTAGGATTTGGTTTCTAGTTCCGGTAGGGGACGGAAAATATTGAAAATATTTTATGTCCTTCTCGCTTTAAATGGATTATTGTTGATTAATGAAAGAAAACGATCCGGAACGGTAAATGTCTTAAAAAATGCATTTTTTCCGCGCCGAAAATTTTAAACGAGTTTTATCGAAAATTAGATTTTCTTGATTTTCCGACTTTATGCCATTGGTTATTCAGCGAGATTTCATCTTTTCATTAAAAAAACGCCATTTTAAAGGTAATTTAATTGTCATCTAGTTGAACTTAAAGGATTTGAGGAAAATTAATTAACAATTGTTTTGTAATAAGAATGAAAAAAATATTTTCAGGATTTTTCCAAATGTTCGACATTTTCTTGCTATTAGTTGTAATCTGGTGAAAATAAGTCTATGGGGATGGAAAACATTAACTGTTCACTGAACAATTATATCCTATATTTCAGAATGATGCTTCAAATGCAAAGATCGGCATAAAATCGGAAAAATAAAAAAATTCCTCCCGAATTATAGGTAATTAGCATGTCGACAAATTCAAATTTTGCAATTAAAAAAATTTCTTTACATTTTAAAAGGTTGAAATTAAGTTGTCTTCAAATTTCACATAATAATGTTGTATAGTTCTTCTAAAAAAAAATTTCTTTAATTAATAAAAAAATTCCCCGTTACATGCCAATCTTAGGAAAAAATCTGGGAAGCATAAAAGTTTTATATATTGGCAAAAATTATCTCAGTTTTAAAATTCCAACGTGATCGTCTTCTGTGAGTCTAAAGCTTTCCAAAAAAACCATTGCGGACAAAAAAACTTATAAATATATATTTTATTAACAATAAAATATTGATAAAAAAATCACATAGTGTAACCCTCATGAAACTTTGTATAGTTTTTGAACCGGTTATCACATCTTAAAAATGTCAACGACATTTGAAAGTTTATGCTTTTAGCTTGAAAGTGTCTGTTAGCTTGTTTTTTTTTGTCAAAACTTGCTGCAGTATTTTTTTAATTGATCTGTCATTAAAATATTTACATAAAACCTCATTAAAAAATAACTTATATTGTAGATACTTAGTGGCAAGAAAGCGTCTGTAAAAGTCTGGAAAATAATATTTTAGGATTATCCATACGATTAGATACTAATTATATACGAAATTTATCCGTAATTTTAAGAAATATAATACGAAATACAATAGATGAACTTGCTTGAATGGGCATTTTCAAGCTAAAAGCATAAGCTTTCAAATATCGTTGACATTTTTAAGATGCGATAAGCAGTTCGAAAACTATACAGAGTTTCATGAGGGTTAAACAAATTTGATTTTTTATCATTATTTTATTGTTAATAAAATATATATATTTTAGTTTTCGTTCAGTCTGCAATAGTTTTTTTAAAAGCTTTGGACTCACACAAAACAACCACGTTGGAATTTTAAAGCTGAAATAATTTTTCGCCTATATAGTATATGAAACTTTTGTGCTTTCCAGATTTTTTCCTAAAATTGGAAAAAGCATGTGACAGGGAATGTGCTACGAAGTTCACAAAACTAAAATTGTACTAAAATACTGTCAATGAAAAATAAATACTATCAGCAACATCAACTAGATTTATTGTTTAAATAGAATTATCAAAGTGTATTAAAAACAAAGAAAAAATATCTCCTCAGAAATGTCAAACGTAACTTATAGAAATTATTATTATTCAAAGAAAATATATAAAAAATCATGCCTGTTATAAATATAGCTTCTTTGACTGAAGACAGGATGATAACCGAGTATTTAATGACTCGAGCTATAAATATATAATAATAATATACACAGGATAATCGTATAAAGAAATTTAAATAACCGAAAAACAATTAGCTGTCAAAGATACGAAATTGAAGATACGCATAAAAACTTTCCAAGCTGTTACTGCTTATTCCAATTGTCGTGAATACACGATTACTCTAATCTCAAATAATAATACGTATGTATAACGAGTTGCCGCATGCAGGCACTTGAAATATACTACGTA